TTTCTGAAGGGAAACCCTTCCGAAAATTTGGTGCTATCGACCAGCCCCTGTTTGTTGCCAGTACTTGCAATGGATAACATAGCAGCGCAGCGCTTCGATGGCACCAGATTTTCCTAAAGGCAACGCTTCCGAAAATTTGGTGCTATCGAACCGCCCCTGTTTGTTGCCAGTATTTGCAATGGATAACATAGCAGAGCAGCGGCTCGCTTGCACCAAATTTTCATCAAGAAACCCTTCAGAAAATTTTGTGCTATCGAACCGCCCTTCGCCCTCACTGTCGGAAAACGCAGCGCTTCGATAGCACCAGAGTATTGGACATGGATAACACAGCAGCGCAGCGGTTCGATAGCACCAGATTCTCTGAAAGGAAACCCTTCAGAAAATTTTGTGCTATCGAAGCGCCTTTCGTTGTCCTCACTGTCGGAAAACGGCCTCCGGACCCTCTCCCCAGGATTTAAATTATGTGAAGTATTTCTTTGGAGCCGGGAATTAAATACTTAAAACAATTTAAATATTGGGGAAGGCCTCCGGACCCCTCCAGAGCCCCTCCCCAGGATGTAAATTACTTCATTGGGGCCGGGAATTAAACCATTCAAATAAGTAATTCCCGGCCCCAACTGAACAATTTAGATAATGTAAATGCTGGGGAGCACCCTCTCCAAACCCTCTCCTGAGCGCAACCCCAGGATTTTAATTATTAAAGTGTTCAAATGATTTAATTGGGGCAGGGAATTATATAATTTGAATAAGTTAAACATTGGGGAAGGCCTCCGAACCCCCTCCCCAAGATGTAGATTCTTTAAATTATTTAATTGGTGCCGGGAATTATATACTTTAAATGATTTAAGTCATTTAAATACTTTAAATATTGGAGAAGGCCTCTGAACCCCCTTCAAACCCCTCCTCATGATTTATATTATTTAATTTACTAAGATTGCTTGATTGGGGAGCGGGGAGTTGTGAGGGTGGAGTGGGCGTTGCGCTTGAAGGGCGGGTGGGGGTTGTGGGATGGTGTGGCCAGGGAGGCAGGGGGCCGGGGGCACCACCCCACCCCGCCACGCCCCACCCCAGCCCACCCCACCCACACAGGGCGGTTCGATAGCACCAACTTTCTGAAGGGCTTCCTTTCATTGCGCTGCCGTGTTATCCATTGCAAATCCTAACAACAAACAGGGGCGGTTCGACAGCACCAAAATTTCGGAAGAGTTTCCTTTCAGAAAACTGGTGCTATCGAACCGCCGCGCTGCTATGTTATCCATTGCGAATACTGGCAACAAACAGGGGCGGTTCGATAGCACCAAATTTTCCGAAGAACCCACATGGGATATCTTCGCCATTTGCCTGTACTAGCTAAATACTCTAGGAATGAAAATGCAGGGTTTCAGCTGGCGAAAGTACCCCATTGAAGCCGCACACGGAGGGGGGGGGGGGTGGCGGGGGCGGCATTCTGGACCACGCAGGGGCGGAGGGGACCGCGGAGCGCGTGTACAGAGTGTGAGTGTGTGGGTATGTGTATGTGTCTCTCTCTCTGTGTGTGTTTGTGTATGTCTATATATATTTATATATATATACGCATATGTGTGCATGTCATACTGACTGTACATACACGAGAAAATGCCCAAACTTAAGCATGAAATCTGATGCCGGTCCTGGATGTGCAGCACATCTACCAAGCTGCCGTGCGGAAGCAGTGTCTTTCCGAGGCAGACTTCACTGCAGGCTACCACCGATCCAGTCTCACAAAGCAAAGCGAAGTCGGTGCTGGAGGAAGCCAGCCGTTTCGGCCTCACACTCGCCTGCAAGACGTTGCCGGATTGTAGTCCTGATTCTTCCAACGTCCTCGCCTGGTTCAGCAGCTCCCCAGTTTTTGCAAAAATCTGATCCAGGCCAGTTCTAAGCTGATGCTGTGCCTCGAGCAGCAAGCGGCCGATGGTCCAGTCAAGCTCAGCGAGAAGGACGACACTTCTGCCACTGAGCAAAGCTACTTCGACATTGATAGACATGGCAGATCTGCAAGAGTTCACGTCTAATCGGCGTGGCTCAAATGAGTCTGCAGTGACTGCATCGTTTCTGTACTTTCCGGTGCTACGACATTCTCGCCGGAAGATTACTGGATCTTCGGAATGCTTTGACTCAATGATCCTAACCTCTCAGACTGCGGATCTGATCTCGAAGCAAGCATCGGACTGGAACAGGCTGACGCAAGTTTCATGCGGGACGATGGGCATGTGGAAGCGGGTAGTTGCAACACACATGCAACTGCAACACATCCTTTGAGACCGTGGCCTACGGCCCGTTAGGGTCGAAGATGCATCTTAACAACATCACCCAGGTGTACGTTGGGTCGGTGCGGGATTTTAGTGCTGAATTTCAGCAACGGGACGTCGATCTCCCCATGCCACGATGCTGCCATCACCCACTATCGCGGCAAACGTGCTGACGGAGCCCTGCACGGCTGTCGCTGGAATCGCTAGGTTGGTTCATACTACATGGGTATGGCATTCTGCAAGGCATGTAAAGCCTCTTAAGAAGCACGCAGATTCCGATTGCAGCGCCTGCACATGCTTGACGTTCACAAGGTGCTCCTGTATCTTGCGGCTGTCACCTCCATGCTCGCTCCTTGGCCCATTGGACGCTGCTCCAGACCAGAAAAACGAACGTTATTAGGGTCTGTTTCCAAAATTAGCAATGCAAAGGGAGGGAAGTGCTGTAAGTAGTGACTTAAAGTCTTCAAAAGCCTGTTCCCCGCCGAGGAGATGCGATGAATCAAGCATTGCTTTTCCTCAGTTCAATACTCTTGCTTCTGGAGCTCTTTCCAAGAGTTCAGGAACTCCTCCAAACACTAGTTGTATAAGGTGCAGCACAACTGCCAGCTCACACCCTTGATCTGCAACACTGCGATCTGAAATATCTTGAATGCTCGTCGCCAGGCTGCGAAACTACTGCCAACTGCTGCACAGCCTCCGGCCCCAAGTCACCACGCTCCCATCGTCACGGATGGCCGCGAATGCGTAGCCCGTCGATGCAATCCTGGGACTCTGCAAGCGCGTCCCAACAAATTGCTGAGCACAGTCTGGCTGAAAACTGTGCTGTTGTGATTCTTCAGCTGTGACGACTACGTACAGACCGAACCTACCGTTTTCGCACTGTTTCTGGTTTCAAGCTCAATTTCACGAAAAACTGTCCTTCTCCGTGCTCACTGGGCTTTGGACATCTCTGGCAACCTCAACTCATCCTTCTTGGCCTTCATGCTACACCCTTAGCCGAGGCTGCGGCCACTAATCGAAGTAAAAATCGATCTGCACACCCGTCTGCCCTGCTTTGGAGGTTCTCCCGCACGCCAGTGAGCTGCGTCTGCACAGCGCTGCTGTCGCCGCCTGCGTCGACGCGGCCCCAAGTCACGACCTTGGACAAAGGGAGCACGCGTCTCGGTAAACCAATTGCCACAACGCCCAGTGTCTTGATGCATTTCCAGTCGCTGTGCCGTCTTTGCGGATGGCGGCGAACGCGTGCATGGTGGACCGGATCTGCATAGTTCCCGAGTCAGTCAATGAGCACATCAAAATGCCAGGGGAGGGTCAGAGGGGCTTGGTTTCTGGGGGGATGATAACATATGCACATGCACAAATGCGCCCATGCCTCATCACGTCTTAGCCTCCGCAACGAGGTGGTGGCTTTGAAGATCTCATGTGGTGGATTGCATGCGACACCGAAATCTTTCTACAAAAGAACGTAGGAGCGAGCGTTGAGTAAAACCCGCACGGAGCCCTTCATCAAATCATGAGTTATGCTAGATCTACTGTAGAACTCTTCTTGGAAGTCCGCAGCCTTCTGCCCGAAATCCGGGAACCCTTTGCGAACATCAAGAATCTCCACACCTACACTCTTTCGAACACTGGCAGAGCCCCACGCCCAGTAACCCGGAGTCAAGTTCCCACTGATTTTTGTGCAGCTTTTCGCTCCCCTTCCCGATGTCGCCTTCCAAACCTCCTGGAGCTGCTCACCGACAGCGCGGCAGTCGCCACCCGAGTCCTCGTGACCCCACGCGACCACCTGAAAGCTTGGCATCGTGTATACGCATGTGTGCGTGTGTGTGTGTGTGTGTGTGTGTGCGCGGAAATCCTGTCTTCAAGGAAGTTGTATCCAATGTCCTTCAATGCAACGATTAAGAAAATAATTCGATCTGAGTTTACATGCAGATACCAGAGTGCAAGGGGGCAACCCCGTGAGCATAGCTGGATGCCCAACGAAGAGGGCTATGATACTGGGTCTGAACGTTTGTTTCCGGCTGGTGATTTCTGTCAAAGGGCCAGTCATGATGAGCAATGCTCCGCCAATTATACCCGACATGAGATCAGTTTACATTCTGGTATCAGAGCAAACTGCTTCCCATACCCTAAGCTCAGGGTACCCCATTCATACCCCTGCCAGGAACCACCCAAGCATCTCTGATAGGTTACATTGAGGTGTATCAGACTAGTTCCAGATGACACCCATATCCGAGGCATACCCATCATCTGAGCATACCCGAAATCATACTGTCGAGTATGATTACCCCAAGCTGATCCATTCTCATATTGCAGTTGCAGAATCATCATTTGAAGTGATGATCCCAACAGTCACCCATTCGTCTAGTTTGACCCAATTAGCACCCGCTCGCCACCCCGAAAGCACCCATCGTGATTGTTGAGAGAATATAGTTTGGTTTCGTTGAGCTCATCTTCATTTCGTGCTTAGATCAAATATCAACTAGTAATCTAACACGTTTCGCCACCCAGATGACACCCAAGCATCTGTTGTGTTCCATCCGGTTGTCATCTTCAGCTTAGGTGCTCAAGAACAAGAGTATCAACAAGTCAGCAAGTTCAACAACCTGTATCGAGAGGTACATGGTGCTACGGATTGTACTGCCAGTGTTCTTTTGCGGAGCTGTTTGCACTCAACTGTTTGATTTGCATCGTTTAGAATTGATTCAACCCTGTCTTAGCCACGCAGACCGTACCAATTAATGTTTCTCGTTCTGATTCGCCATCAAGAAGTTTATCTATCAGAAGAAGGAGTAGATCGCCAAGACGTGAGAGGCGCACCGTACAGGTCGAAAGGATAGTGCTCCAAGAGAATGGGTTGGTACAAGGCAACCACCAAGCATTTGGCGTGGAACTAGCCCAGCACGTATTCGATCTCCAGATGTTCAACGTAGAGCTTTGGAAGGACCCAAAGATCAACAATTAGCTCCTTCTCTTCCACAAGCATCTGCAAACTACGATGCCACCTTTCCACCTATGTCGCCGGCTTTGTCAAGCAATAAGAGTTTGCAATTTATGGGACAGTACCATCTTCCTGTGCAATCTACTGGACACTTTGGTTCTCCTTCAGGTTCAGTTCCTTCTGGTTCGTTTGCTCCTGTGGTAGGAAAGGAGAAGTCGTCAGGTACCAATGATAAGGTTGGTTGTGATAGACGTATGCTTCTGAGCAAGCGTTATTTTCTGGACCTCCTCCACCTGTTGGAAAAGAAGAAGGCATTCAGTATGAGTTGAACGAGTCTGAGAAGGTCGAGCTTCTTTTTCCTGTACCAGCAATGAAAAGTTTGCCGCTGACTTTCTTGGACCCCAGCTTCTGGCGACCTTCTGAACATTCATGCAAAGCTGCAAAGCGCAGAGCTTTTGTTGATCCACTTTTGGACCGAGCACTTAGTGTTCCTGAAGAACAGTTGGACCAAATGTGCAAAGAACTTCTTCAAGTAGTTGATAAAAAAACTCCCGTGCTTTTAACGGACAAGAAGACGCTGCATAACTTTGCTTTGGCAATGATTGTCAAAAAGCAAAAATTATCGAATATTATTGAGGTTGCAGCTAGCTGGCACATTGATGGAGTGAACATTCAGTTACTTCGATTGCAAGGTATGCCTGGGCTAACTTTCAGCAATATACCTCCAATTACCACTTCCCACCATCATTGGTATCATGGTCCTGGTCTTTAGACGGTTTTGGAGCATTGGCTACGGGAACAATTCTGCCTTGTTGTTCGGATGGAGTTCAATTGCCTCTGTCCATTCCGTTGCCTGGCTTCTTTGCAAGAGTACGTCGGGAAGATAAGCAGGTTTCTGAAGAACAACTTTCGCAAGGTTAAGCTTCCCAGAGCTTCGACGTGGCTTGAGTAGTTTGTATCTTGTAAGTCCGGACCAGTTAAGAGCAAAAGCACCAACAAACGCTGGTGTGTAAGAGCAGATTATGGCAAGATTCAGTCCGCATGTCGTACACGCAAGCAAGAGCAGTAGTTTTTCTGCGAAGGACAACTCGTATGCAGATGTCTCACTGGCAGTGCATCATAAAGGCTGTCGAGCAACAGATGGTCCTTTGGAAGACTCTGCATTTATTGCTGAATGCCTGTGCTGCAACAGAGGAAACCGTGCCTGTTCGTCTTCATACTATGGCTCGCAGTTGCGGACCAGGAACGATTCGTGTCATGGAGGGTAAAGCAGATGAAGGTGGGGTGCTACGGAAGAATTCCTGTAAACTGCTCTTAAAGGCTGAAACACACGATTTGTCGTGTTTTGGATCAAGGATTGGGTTGAGTAGGTCCTTTCGCAATCTCCTCGCTGTGCGATCATCTTCCAGTTTCTTCGGGCTTCTCAGATGGAGGTGCGTTGATTTCGACAAGAAGGAACCAAGCATCTTCGAAGACTAGAAATGCCAAGATCAGCAAGAAATCCTCCAAGAAGAAGGTTCAAAGAAGATCAGCCAAGAAAGTAAGAACATCCTCCCTCCCAGAAGAAGGGAAGACAGTGTCCATCCATATTTTATTCTTCATCTTCTAAATCTCTAAAACCATCTTCTTCATCGTCAAGTACCGGTACATCTTCTACAACACCTGAGCAGCAATGTAAAGCGCATCCAACCCAGCATCAAGGCTGACCCGGACCTGTTTATGTTGGACAAACCTTTAGTGATCCTAAAGGCAATTGCGTGATTCGGGTTGTTCGTTCTTCAAATGGTTCCCGTTTAAGTAACGTAAATAAACAAATGAAGTGTTACTGCTATAAGAATGGTTCAGGTCGTATTTGCGCGGATTGTTGCAAAACTTCTCGAGCTCAGATGCTTTCGCCGGTATGATTACGAATATCCGCGAAAATCGCAAGCCCAACAAATTCCAATGTAAGTGGGATTCGCAGCACCCTTGACGGCATTGTTAATGATTTCAACGGCGTTTTGAATCGTTACCAAATGACCTACCTGTTGCCACCTGCACAACAACTCGTCAGCAGTCAAGGAGTCTCACAAACCTTCCCGCAACCGCGATATTTCACTTGAAGACGACTAGATGACAATTCAAGCAAAATGCCTCACAGTGTTTAGCTTGTGGTTCGTCGAATGTTCTTGTCTAGTTGCTTTGTTGGTAGCCGGTCTCTACCAGGACCGTGTGTCTGAATCCTGTCCCTAAGGAAGTTGTGTTCGACAGCTTTTCAAGCAAAGAATGAAAGAGTCTTCAAGGCGAGTTTACCTACAAATGCTGGAATGTAAGGGCTTGCTGTCTAGCTGCTTTGTTGGTAACGGGTCTCTGCCGGGACCGTGTGGGTGTGTGGGAATCCTGTCTCCAATGAAGTTGTATCCAATCTCAACGATTAAGAAAGTGTCTTTGCAGATGCAATCTTCGGATAACCAAGGAGGAAGTGTCCTGGTACCATGTATTCTATCCTATGCAAGACCCAAAACATGTTGATGTCTCGGACTCACTAATGTTGGGCTCATCCATTCCTGCGGTTCATCAGAAGCAACAATGGTGGTCGCCTTAGCCTGCAGCCTTGCAAGTGTCGTTCGGGGTTTTGGGTCCTCTCTTACACGAAAAGACACATTGCAGCAGGAGTTCTGACTCAGAATCTCATTAGAGTGCGAATCCTCGTGAAGCTTGTACATGTGGATGTCCAACAGGTTATTCAAGCTGTCGATCCTTTAGTTAAAGCTACCAGTACCAGCTCTGCACCCGTCCACCTCCACAAGCCCAAACCCTGCAACCCAGCGAAGCTGAAGGCCCCAAGCCGATTCTTATTGCCCGGCAGCCGAACCATCTGCGCATAACGCCGCAAAGGCCAGGCCAGTTGCTTCGATGTCCTGTTTGCTGCAGTCGACTCGAAGGGAGTGAAGTTTGGGGGAAGTAAAGACGTGGGGTTCTTGCACACCCGTGTCAGAATATTCTGAGGGGACTATCTCTAAGATGGCATAATGTGGAGGTTGCATGTTGTAGACCGAAACAGATCTGATCAACAGCCTGAATAGATGTTCACTCTACGGCATCGCCACATACATCCCACATACACCACCTAGAAGCATACTCTTCGGTCTGACAGCATCGCACGTTGTTTCTAGTCTGGTCTTAAGCGCCGCATGCTTGTACAGCTGCCCCGCCTCACAGTGGCGATCGCCTACATCTTGAGGAACTCACTGTGCAATAGGCACATTCGCGTTCTGCGCTCCGAGCAAGATTTGCTTCTCTCTTTGGGTGCAGGTGTCCTCAGCGCCTTGCTGAGAACCTAGCT